AATACAAATTATGGTACATCAACCTAAATTTGATTTACTACCTTTATTAAAAATGGTTTAAACACCAGCATTTTCCAGACGTTTGGGATTGCTCCAATTCTTAAGTAGAGATTAACTTTGAGTGCAAGACTATCAGAAATTACAAGGCACATAATTCATGAGTTTCTTTTAGTAGTTGTCAATGCATGTGCAAGTTTCTTTTGGGGTATCAGTGACGTCTTTATAAACATCTTCTAAAGACAAGTCGAAAGGTTGTAAACTTGGAGATGTGTATTCCTTTCTGTTTGTTAAGCATGTTGGTTGCTGTCCACTTCAAGCAATTTCCTTCTATTTTGTTCCATCCATTTTGAGAACGCGAGCATGGCAGAATTAATAACGACTATAATGTCGTAAAGTTAGAAAATAGATGGTATACCGGTTACTTTCATGTTTGTTATGTATAGGATATGCTGTACCGGTTAGTTTCATGTTTACTATGTGTAGTAGATGCTGCACTACAGATGCTGCAAACTTAAGGTTTGGTATGATACATTAAACTTGAGCAACTGCGACTGTGCAAACTCCAAAGCATTTTAGTGCAAAATTCCTCTCCCGCCACACTTCCAACCCCGACCAGAGAGCACAAGTGGCTTAACCGCGAAATTCGTCATACATATTAGACGTCCTTCGTATACGGCTCATTGGCTAGCATTGTCACGAACTGCAGATATCGCGTATGGACCGAATAACTATTTGGAAATGTCATTGTAATTTAAATTGTTGACCTCTGAACCCTGCCGAGACCACTGACGGGTAAACTAAGGAATGCACTGTTCTTGCCGTAGGTTACGCATACAGGAAATAGAACAAGAAAGGGTCTTAACACATCGGTTTCGAAGGAAACGTATGAACATTTAGACCGACGGACAGAGCGTGTCACAATATCCACATTTTTTTTAAAAACCAGATTGATTTAAAGTACTGTATCTAAGCAGACCTTAATTTATTTCTCATCTATACCATGAGTAAAATGTTATTATTTATGTGTCATATCTAGACCCTGAACTCGATTTCAAGTTAAACGCAACAGTTCACGTTTCCGGACATGCAATTACATCGTTCACTGTGCATGATGTTTAAGGACTTGTACCTATATTTTCTCTTTGGATACCCTTAGCTGACATCGCACAGCTCTAATACATGCAATGTTAAATATTTAGAAAATACTTCATCCTGTTATGATTGAGTTAAATGGATTACGTATTGTCTATAGTAGTTGAAAGAGTGCAAGTCAAACAACGAAAAATAGATATGTGCTAATATATGTGCAAGTGAGAAATAGTGCAAATAGTTTAGTTACGCAGATACCATATCACTGACAACTGAATAATCCAACTATGTGGCTGACGTCTTTGTAAAGAGATCATATCTCGGAGTAATCAGGAGATAAAAAACGGAAAAGGAATGCATCCTCATTGGTGCGGTTGTCTTTCCAAACAGAGTATAGCAAACGAGGCTTTCAAATCACAAACTTAAAGGAAACCAAAATTTTGTTCAATGTCAATATTTTTGCATATGTTGTACTGAATAAGAACAGTTTGTCACGAGAAGATTCAATCCTTTATATTCTGTACGTTCAACATTAGCTAGTTCAAATTATGAAAAAAAGTTTGTTTTGTTTTCTACAATGTTGATTATTTTGGTTATCATGCCTCCACATGCATGATAAAGTGAAATAAACCTTTCAGCTAGGCAAGTTTTTTCGTTAGTTTTATTTTACCATACGTAGTATATTTATTAATATTGACAATCAAGTATGCATGGAACACTCAGTTAAACAAGTACCCTTTTAAGTTAGTACAGTTGTTATACACGTTCGATGCGCATTCCAATGGTGAAGAAAGAAAATTGTACATGCGATCTGTATATATTTTGCTTTTTTCATTAAAAGGTGGTTGTTTTGACTAGAAAAGGGGGAAGTTTCGAGTGAACCCCAACACACAAATCTAAATCAAGGGTTGACTTTGATGTAATTCTTAACAAACGTCGACGTACTAATTGCAAGCACCATCTATACCGTATGTACACAATTATGAGTCAAGTCCAACTGCAAACACCATAGACCTTTGATCTGTCCTTGCATGTTCTGATTGCATATCAGATTATATATTGTTTTTTTTTTCTTTCTACTATTACTCGTAACAAACTACACAGCTCCAGATACGTCAGTGCATTATGCGATGACATCATTCCTCTGTGCAGTTTGCGTTGTGCTTATAAAAGAGAATGGACGTTATCTGATAACGTTTGTAGGTCTCCCTTGAAAATAAAACAAAACTCTTCGAACTGCACCTAATTTAAAGTGATGGAATGAGAGTGCGAATGGGCTTGGTGAATCGAACATTAATTACTGATACCGGCTTCAGACTTCAAATAGATCTGGCAGAGAAGTAAGAGCTAGCAGGGCAGTGTACAGTGTACCAAGTATCTCAAAATTAACACAATTAATTTCAAATCCCATATTATAGCAAATCCATCGCCCCAATCTCTCTCTCTCTCTCTCTCTCTCTCTCTCTCTCTCTCTCTCTCTCTCTCTCTCTCTCTCTCTCTCTCTCTCTCTCTCTCTCTCTCTCTCTCAATGATGTATGTATGTATGTATGTATGTATGTATGTATGTATGTATGTATGTATGTATGTATGTATGTATGTATGTATGTATGTATGTATGTATGTATGTATGTATGTATGTATGTATGTATGTATGTATGTATGTATGTATGCATGCATGCATGCATGCATGCATGCATGCATGCATGCATGTATGTATGTATGTATGTATGTATGCATGCATACATGTATGTATATGTATAAATATAGTTTGTATATATATATATATATATATATATATATATATATATATATATATATATATATATACACACACACAAAGTGTTGTAAATGTTAATGTAAATCATCGCCTTATTCGGGTTTATACTAAAATCACATCCATTCACCTTAGAGATACAAAGAAAGTAAAGAAAAGGAAAGAACTTTTCACTTTATTTCGTTCTGGACTCTCAATCGAATAGGGAAAATATGTTGTCAAACTCATAGCAATGCTGTAATTTCTACAAGGAACATGACGTCTATTGATCGTTCAATGCTGTCATTTTTATTAGAATCATGATGGTCATTGAGCACTATCACACATCAAGGTGATGTTGTCTTTTCCATTAGGAACATGATAGCTATTGATCGCTATCACACATCAAGGTGATGTTGTCTTTTCCATTAGGAACATGATAGCTATTGATCGCTATCACACGTCAAGGTGATGTTGTCTTTTTCATTAGGAACATGATAGCTATTGATCGCTATCACACGTCAAGGTGATGTAGTTTTTACTATTCAGAGCACAGTGGCTATTACTCGATATTACACTCAGAAGGTGATGCTGTCATACCTTTTGGGAACATGGAGGCTACTGATAGCTATCAGAATTTGTACTAGATTTTATAATTAGCGTTCACACAAACCTTTTACGGACCTAGTCGTTTTCAAAGATTTTACCTAATTAAATATTCTATAAATATTATCTTTTCATACATGCTATCCTTCAGTAAAGTCAAATATGTTGTCTGACCTTTATTTTAAAAAAATACTCTTTGTTTCTGCTTATGTAAACAGCAAGAGTTCTCACAGATTATTATACAGCCATATATGTACACACATTTTTAGCCATGCCGATTTTACTTTTAGTGGAAAACATTATCATATGCTTTTTCTATGTTCAGTGGAACTATATTATCTAGGATTTTAATGGGATAGGTCGACGCCCCTGAAATATCTGGGATATAATATGATAGATCGAGGCCCCTGAAATATCTGGGACACAGTGGAATAGATCTACGCCCCTGAAAAGGATACGACCCTGCCTTTTGTGAATGATCTAATAATCACAAGTACAACATAAGGGTGCTTTTGTCCTAACATGCTATAATGCATACGTGTATGAGTATTACATACAAAGATCGCCGTTTTATTGACTAGTAGATAATACAACGGAATCAAACCTTGGTTTATAGTTTTTAATATAAATTGCTGATAATATACCCAATTGATTTAGAATTTTTCATGCATTAAATATGCTTTTACACTATTAGAAAACAAACAAAAAAATACCGAGAAAGAAAACAAGAAAGGTTTGAATTGTTTAACATTTATTGTAGCCTCTTGGTTCATTTGGGCATAGATTGAATCAGGAAGTTGGAGATCGCGGTTTTTAAATAATCCGAGATTAATTCCTATGCATTGTGGGTCAATGTTAGGTACATGTTTTTTTTTGTCCTTATTCGGATGCTTTTTTAGCAACCGTTGTGGTTTATTTGTTAGCGTGCTAAGTTCGGGACCGAAACAGTGTGTATTTGAGTCCTACCATTATATCAGCTCGAGTAGGTAACTGATGTGTTCTAGGACAACTCCTATTAAGCAAGACTTGTGGCCTTAAATGGTGTATTGACACTAAATGACGTATTGGTATTCCTGCGGTGTAGTACATCAAACTCAGTCAGACCAATCAAGAAAATCATTATCGAAAGAATCACTTATAAAATGGAAAAATAAGACAAGTTATAACGGTCAGTGTATTTCGATAAATAACAACTCAATTACCTTTCAAGGTCTGGAAGTATTAGATGTCAAAAGTATAAATTTTGGACAAATGTCATTATGCTCAAACGTACATGTTGTGTGTGTGTGTGTGTGTGTGTGTGTGTGTGTGTGTGTGTGATTATGATTTTTAACGTAGCTGAAAAAAAAATTCAGTCATATCGCGACGATGTCTTCAGTTTGGCAGTTTATAGTCATGCCTAGCACTGGGGCATCATGCCCCGCAGTCATGTAGCATGATGTCCCAGCCAGTCACATTATCCTGACACCAGGCCAAACAGTCCTAACACTAACCTTTTATTGCTGAGCGCCAAGCGAGGAAGCTGTTAGTACCATTTTATAAGTCTTTGGTATGACTTGACCGGGGATCGAACCCATGACCTTCCGCAACTGAGGCAGACGTTCTAACCATTAGGCTATCTGAGCGGTTTACATGTTTTGTATTATGCGCTAAATGTGTTTGGTCAAGCTATAAATTCATTTGGTCGAATGCACATTTTTAAAACATGCACAGAGTATGGCAACAAACATTGCACGTTAAGAATGGTACATCATGGTCAAGAGTACGAGGTTCATAGATAGTGGTTGGTGATCAGGTCTTGTCAGTTTAATTCATTAGTTAAATAGTTAGGGTTTTGTTTTTCTTTTAAATTCACCGACTCCTTTCTTCACCTACAGACTTTATGAATACTTTTACAAACCATCAATGTCTTAAGAGTGAGTCTATATTTACATATTTTAAATTTGGATTTTTGCTTTCGTCGAGTTTATAATTTGAGTATGGACACACGCATATTAAAATAATATATGCCTGGAATGCGCACTCAGCCAGCACGATCCATTCCTTATAAAGAGCACTGGAGGAACCTATTTACATGCATATTCGGTTCGTAATAAGCACTACCGAAGAACAGGATCGACAAATTTATTTTGTGAGTTTATTATTGTTTTTGTTTTTGTTCTGCTCACATATTTTATGAAGCAGAACAAGATTATATTTGTTGAACTCATCAATCTACTACGGCATAGACCAACGTTGAACACATCAGTCTACTAAAGCATAGACCAACGTTGAACTCATCAATCTACTAAGGCATAGACTGACGTTGAACACATCAGTCTACTAAAGCATAGACTGACGTTGAACTCATCAGTCAAGTAAAGCATAGATTGACGTTGAACTCATCAATCTACTAAGGCATAGACTGACGTTATATTTATTGTTTATACTGCTGGTGCGGAAATTACTGGGCTTGAATTAGATGAAATATTGCAGATTCTTCTATATAAGACAACGCTTTAAAAATGAAGTGAAAGCAAAGACAAAATCATCTCCCAAAGGCAAACACAGTCAACATGCAAAGTAAGTGGGATGTTCTACCAAGTGTCATGTCAAATGCTGATGAGTTTCAAATGGGCACCATATTAGACGGCAACGAAACGGAACAACTCGGAAAGTAAAAACTTAAAGGAATCGCAGCTTTCAAATCAAATCAAACTGTGCAAAACATGTTATGGCCTGGTAAATAAAACAAAAATGATAAAAGATGTATGGACCAGTATGATTAAATCATTGCAAATTAAATGGTAAATCCGAAGGAAAGCTTAAAATGATGCGTTGTAGTTTCTATATGATTTAGTCTTATAAAGTGTGAACGAGAAATGACGCGTGGAGGTGTGTTAAGAATGTAAATATCTTCCTAAAACACTATGCTGTTCTATCACTGAATTATCAAATATACAAACACAGATGGGTCCAATAATATCGCAAATTGTGCCTCAGTGGGCAAAACCAACATATAGTCAGTGCATGATCAAATTTCCACAGTTTCTATACAAATTAAATGTAATGACTCATGTAACAAGGCATTTAAATGACAAAAAACATAAATCAGATAATATCAAGGACGACACAGCAAACAGCTGCAGTGGCGAACAAAACACACTTAATGATAAAGAACCTGAAGTCAACAAGTTGCAACATCTTACTACATCAGATTACAACAGAGGCCAGGCGTTTCGTCATGTCAGAGAGATGTGACTTGGGTTGACTGTTCATCTGTATTGGTGGTTTCGTCATGGCAAAGAGATGTTGCTTGGGTTGACTGTGTTCATCTATACCGGTGGTTTCGTCATGGCATAGTGATATGGCTTGGGTTGACTTTGTTCATCTGTATGTGTGGTTTCGTCATGGCATAGTAATGTTGCTTGGGTTGACTGTGTTCATCTGTCTTGGTGGTATTGTCATGGTATATAAATGTGGCTTGGGTTGACTGTGTTAATCTGTATTGGTGGTTTCGTCATGGCATAGTGATGTGGCTTGGGTTGACTGTGTTTATCTGTATGGGTGGTTTCGTCATGTCATAGAGATGTGGCTTGGGTTGACTGTGTTCATCTGTATTGGTGGTTTCATCATGGCAAAGAGATGTGGATTGGGTTGACTGTGTTCATCTGTACTGGTGATTTCGTCATGGCATAGTGATATGGCTTGGGTTGACTGTGTTCATCTGTATTGGTGGATTCGTCATGGCATAGTAATGTGACTTGGGTTGACTGTATTCATCTGTATTGGTGGTTTCGTCATGGCATAGAGATGTGGCTTGGGTTGACTGTGTTCATCTGTATTGGTGGTTTCGTCATGGCATAGTGATGTGGCTTGGGTTGACTGTGTTCATCTGTATTGGTGGTTTCGTCATGGCATAAAATGTTGCTTGGGTTGACTGTGTTCATCTGTATTGGTAGTTTCGTCATGGTATATAGATGTGGCTTGGGTTGACTGTTTATCTGTTTTGGTGGTTTCGTCATGGCATCGTGATGTGGCTTGGGTTGACTGTGTTCATCTGTATTGGTGGTTTCGTCATGGCATAGTAATGTTGCTTGGGTTGACTGTGTTCATCTGTATTGGTGGTTTCGTCATGGCATAGTAATATTGCTTGGGTAGACTGTGTTTATCTGTATTTGTGGTTTCGTCATGTCATAGAGATCTGGCTTGGGTTGACTGTGTTTATCTGTATTGGTGGTTTCGTCCTGGCATAGAGATGTGGCTTGAGTTGACTGTGTTTATCTGTATTGGTGGTTTCGTCCTGGCATAGAGATGTGGCTTGGGTTGACTGTGTTCATCTGTATTGGTGGTTTCGTCATGGCATAGTGATGTGGCTTGGGTTGACTGTGTTCGTGTATATTGATGGTTTCGTCATGCACTGGCTATTCTGCTGGAGTGTGTTTCTTCATTGCTTGTTTAAAGTGGAGAACTGTTAGACCTTTTCTCAGTACTTTCAGCCCACTTGTACTACAACCGCCTTTTGATTTGAACATGCCGTCACTACGCCAGTTGACCCGTTGGTGATACGATGAAGCACCATCAATTGCCTTAAAGAATAATTCATTGGTACCTGATACTACATTGTATAACAAACTGTTTCTACAGTCATTTTTCCGTTGTCAGACGAATATCTAATGTGTGTGTGGTTCTAACACCCTCCATCAAGTCGTACCAACATGATTATTATTATTAGAAATTTCAATTATCACGTCCTAGAAATCAATACACATGGAACCGTCTAAGTTTTATTCACAATTTCAACCTTAAATAGTAATTAAGCTCACATGTTCATAATTATAGTCTCATTTTAATCTGGGTTCTTCATAGACTGGTTATAATATGATAATGTTCTAAAATCTTCATTGATGTTTCACGAACTCGCATCAGGTTACCTCTGCATCATATGCCAGCTCAACGTATCATTTCATAACCCTCCATCTCTATTTGCTACTAATAGAAACCAGCGTATGATACATATAACCCAACTATTGCACGAAAAACAAGAGCAACTAACATCATTTTATTTTGTAATTTCATGGTGTATGTTTTTGTAATAATGTCATAATTTTTTTTGGGGGGGTGTATTTATTATCTACTATTGCAAAAACCTTAGATTTTCTTAGGATTGGGCACTATACTAAGTCCATATTAATATTATTATTATTATTATTATTATTATTATTATTATTATTATTATTATTATTATTATTATTATTATTATTATTATTATTATTATTTCTCTTTGGTTTTAATGTTCGAGATAGAGGATTGCTTGTTCCAAAAATTGATGATTTTATATCAACAAGTGCAACATCTTGCCTTATCAATATGCTTGGTTAATGTCCAACATTTTAGATAACTATTGAAGGATTTCCTAATTACAAAGGAAGTTTACGGTTTGGAGAGTAAAGAAGATATACACAGACTCGGATTTGGGATAGTTGTTTACAGTATATTTCCAGCTATTTAAATTGCACGTTGTATATTACAACTTGAAAGAAATACCAGCAAATTGATATGAACAGAGATTTCATTCTCTAGACCAAAACACTTTATCGATTGTGCATGTCACGGTTCCCTAACTCACCCGTTACTTGGATCGACATTTTCAATTAATCAATGTTGTTTGTCGTCACATTGGTGACTCGCTTTGGATCATGTTAGTCAATCCAGGTCTAATATATAATGTGTCATTATGTGATATACTAACATATATCATTTGATTTAAAATCATTAAAAGTGACAAAGCGAGAATAATCATTCGCAAGTTCATGAAATGAAACACCAATCAAAACGTTTAATTAAAATAAATATCAAGCAGATGACAATTCATTTTACAATGAGAGCCAATAGTTGTTATAGCTATGTTGACCTTAATTTCTCAAGTATTTTGATGATCGAAGGTGTACCGATTTATGAAATACGAGCCGAGTTTGGGTGACATTATGTGGTTTTAATGCAAAAGGTAAATATATTTCGCCAGTTTTTTTTATATAGTTGTTCCTTTAATTACACTAATATACTGCAAACCAAAGACGACCATCCTTCGTCCTTGTACGATTAGTTATCACATACGAAATTAATACTTTACAGTGGAATTAATTTATAGATAATGGATAAAGGTGAAGCAACTGAAGTTGTATGTAGCCAAACTCATCCTTAAACCGTGATTTGAACGGCTACTTTTGCTTTAATATTACAATTTTCGGACATTTCCAAATCCAGTATGTGTTACCCATTCCTACACTTTGTATTATGGACCGGCTAGCTCAATGATAAACACTAACTGAATCATTGATTAAAAGTGCTTGTCAGCCAGATAAACTATTGTGATAGAAACATTTCTTAGTTTGATATTATTTACCAGATAAAGGAGAATTATGGGACTTTATACTGCAGATTCTGTATAGGCTTCTGAAACTACGTAGAAAATGAAGTGGATGCTTGACATTATAAGCGAATCGCTGACCCCGGTCTTTCATTGTAGACTGTCAATTGGTAGCACTTGTAACCACTCAGAGATGATGTAAATTAAGGGGTCGAGTATATGTTTCATTGCATGTATGCAACCTAAACCGTACTGGAATAGCCTCAATTATCAAGT